CTGTGATTTTAGAATGATTTGTTTGCGAGTGCAGAGAGACTCCGCCCACACGCTCTTCTGATTGGCTGTGATTTTGGAATTTGGTTGCGAGTGCAGGGAGACTCCGCCCACACGCTCTTCTGATTGGCTGTGATTTTAGAATGATTTGGTTGCAATTGCAGAGAGACTCCGCCAACACGCTCTTCTGATTGGCTGTGATTTTGGAATGATTTGGTTGCGAGTGCAGGGAGACTCCGCTCACACGCTCTTCTGATTGGTTGTGATTTTGGAATTTGGTTGCGAGTGCAGAGAGACTCCGCCCACACACTCTTCTGATTGGCTGTGATTTTAGAATGATTTGGTTGCGAGTGCAGGGAGACTCCGCCCACACACTCTTCTGATTGGCTGTGATTTTAGAATGATTTGGTTGCGAGTGCAGGGAGACTCCGCCCACACACTCTTCTGATTGGCTGTGATTTTAGAATGATTTGGTTGCGAGTGCAGAGAGACTCCGCCCACACGCTCTTCTGATTGGCTGTGATTTTAGAATGATTTGGTTGCGAGTGCAGAGAGACTCCGCCCACACACTCTTCTGATTGGCTGTGATTTTAGAATGATTTGGTTGCGAGTGCAGGGAGACTCCGCCCACACACTCTTCTGATTGGCTGTGATTTTAGAATGATTTGGTTGCGAGTGCAGAGAGACTCCGCCCACACACTCTTCTGATTGGCTGTGATTTTAGAATGATTTGGTTGCGAGTGCAGAGAGACTCCGCCCACACGCTCTTCTGATTGGCTGTGATTTTGGAATGATTTGGTTGCGAGTGCAGGGAGACTCCGCCCACACACTCTTCTGATTGGCTGTGATTTTGGAATTTGGTTGCGAGTGCAGAGAGACTCCGCCCACACGCTCTTTTGATTGGCTGTGATTTTAGAATGATTTGGTTGCAATTGCAGAGAGACTCCGCCAACACGCTCTTCTGATTGGCTGTGATTTTGGAATGATTTGGTTGCGAGTGCAGAGAGACTCCGCTCACACGCTCTTCTGATTGGCTGTGATTTTGGAATTTGGTTGCGAGTGCAGAGAGACTCCGCCCACACGCTCTTTTGATTGGCTGTGATTTTAGAATGATTTGGTTGCAATTGCAGAGAGACTCCGCCAACACGCTCTTCTGATTGGCTGTGATTTTAGAATGATTTGGTTGCGAGTGCAGAGAGACTCCGCCCACACGCTCTTCTGATTGGCTGTGATTTTAGAATGATTTGGTTGCAATTGCAGAGAGACTCCGCCCACACTCTCTTCTGATTGGCTGTGATTTTGGAATGATTTGGTTGCGAGTGCAGGGAGACTCCGCCCACACTCTCTTCTGATTGGCTGTGATTTTAGAATGATTTGGTTGCAATTGCAGAGAGACTCCGCCCACACTCTCTTCTGATTGGCTGTGATTTTGGAATGATTTGGTTGCGAGTGCAGGGAGACTCCGCCCACACGCTCTTCTGATTGGCTGTGATTTTGGAATGATTTGGTTGCGAGTGCAGGGAGACTCCGCCCACACGCTCTTCTGATTGGCTGTGATTTTGGAATGATTTGGTTGCGAGTGCAGGGAGAATCAGTCCATACGCTCTTCTGATTGGCTGTGATTTTGGAATGATTTGTTTGCGAGTGCAGGGCGACTCCGCCCACACTCTCTTCTGATTGGCTGGGATTTTAGAATGATTTGGTTGCAATTGCAGAGACTCCGCCCACACGCTCTTCTGATTGGCTGTGATTTTAGAATGAATTGGTTGCAATTGCAGAGAGACTCCGCCCACACGCTCTTCTGATTGGCTGTGATTTTAGAATGATTTGGTTGCAATTGCAGATAGACTCCGCCCACACGCTCTTCTGATTGGCTGTGATTTTAGAATGATTTGGTTGCGAGTGCAGGGAGACTCCGCCCACACGCTCTTCTGATTGGCTGTGATTTTAGAATGATTTGGTTGCAATTGCAGAGAGACTCCGCCCACACGCTCTTCTGATTGGCTGTGATTTTGGAATGATTTGGTTGCGAGTGCAGGGAGACTCCGCCCACACGCTCTTCTGATTGGCTGATTTTAGAATAATTTGGTTGCGAGTGCAGGGTCGCTGGAATCTTATTGCATCACGTCTAATTAGTCTGAGAATCAACAATAAATTCCAGTGCTGAGGCAGGAATGAGCGGTTCTTACCCAGAGTTCCACCTGTTGCCATGGCAATGGACATCTGCCCCAGGAGCTCGGGTGAGGGATTCGCAGCGCCGAGAGTGGCTGCCACTCCTCCTGCCACCCCGATCATTCCCAGCGCGTTCCCCAAACGACTGGTGCGCTGCGTGGAGAGACCAGCGAGAGCTCCGACACAGCACAGACCCGAGCCCAGGTACATCATCTACACACACACACACACACACACACACACACACAGATTAAAGAGATTCTAAAAGTAAACCTTTTTTATCCGGAATGTGGGAGGAGCTTGAGTTTGTTGCCCAGCCCTGTTTGTTTGAACCGTGAGAGACGTCAAAGCTTACGCTACTCCTACATCTACGTCATACATCTTCAAGTGTTACTCTTTCGCCGTAAGTCGACCTTCTGGAAGCTAGTTATTTTAGCAGATAAAGTTTTAAATATGGATAATTTTCATACAAGAACGCATCACTTTGGTTCAGAAGGCCTTTATTAACCCGCCAGAGCTGTGTGGATCACTTTATGATGGATAGATGCACTTTTATGATGGACAGACTTTTATGATGGATAGATGCACTTTTATGATGGATAGATGCACTTTTATGATGGACAGATGCACTTTTATGATGGACAGATGCACTTTTATCATGGATAGATGCACTTTTATGATGGACAGATCCACTTTTATGATGGACAGATGCACTTTTATCATGGATAGAGGCACTTTTATGATGGACAGATGCACTTTTATCATGGATAGATGCACTTTTATGATGGACAGATGCACTTTTATGATGGACAGATGCACTTTTATCATGGATAGATGCACTTTTATCATGGATAGATGCACTTTTATCATGGATAGATGCACTTTTATCATGGATAGAGGCACTTTTATCATGGATAGATGCACTTTTATGATGGACAGATGCACTTTTATGATGGACAGATGCACTTTTTTAATGGATAGATGCACATTTATGATGAATAGATGCACTTTTATCATGGATAGATGCACTTTTATCATGGATAGATGCACTTTTATCATGGATAGAGGCACTTTTATCATGGATAGAGGCACTTTTATCATGGATAGATGCACTTTTATGATGGACAGATGCACTTTTATGATGGACAGATGCACTTTTATGATGGATAGAGGCACTTTTATGATGGATAGAGGCACTTTTCTCATGGATAGAGGCACTTTTATCATGGATAGATGCACTTTTATCATGGATAGAGGCACTTTTATCATGGATAGAGGCACTTTTCTCATGGATAGAGGCACTTTTCTCATGGATAGAGGCACTTTTATGATGGATAGAGGCACTTTTCTCATGGATAGAGGCACTTTTATCATGGATAGATGCACTTTTCTCATGGATAGATGCACTTTTCTCATGGATAGAGGCACTTTTATCATGGATAGATGCACTTTTATCATGGATAGATGCACTTTTATGATGGACAGATGCACTTTTATGATGGATAGAGGCACTTTTATGATGGATAGAGGCACTTTTATCATGGATAGATGCACTTTTATCATGGATAGAGGCACTTTTATCATGGATAGAGGCACTTTTATCATGGATAGATGCACTTTTATCATGGATAGAGGCACTTTTATCATGGATAGATGCACTTTTATTATGGATAGATGCACTTTTATCATGGATAGATGCACTTTTATGATGGACAGATGCACTTTTATCATGGATAGATGCACTTTTATCATGGATAGAGGCACTTTTATCATGGATAGATGCACTTTTATCATGGATAGAGGCACTTTTATCATGGATAGATGCACTTTTATCATGAATAGATGCACTTTTATCATGGATAGAGGCACTTTTATCATGGATAGATGTACTTTTATCATGGATAGAGGCACTTTTATCATGGATAGATGCACTTTTATCATGGATAGAGGCACTTTTATCATGGATAGATGCACTTTTATCATGAATAGATGCACTTTTATGATGGATGGATGCACTTTTATCATGGATAGATGCACTTTTATCATGGATAGATGCACTTTTATCATGGATAGATGCACTTTTATCATGGATAGATGCACTTTTATCATGGATAGTTGCACTTTTATCATGGATAGAGGCACTTTTATGATGGACAGATGCACTTTTATCATGGATAGATGCACTTTTATCATGGATAGATGCACTTTTATCATGGATAGATGCACTTTTATCATGGATAGAGGCACTTTTATCATGGATAGAGGCACTTTTATCATGGATAGATGCACTTTTATCATGGATAGATGCACTTTTATCATGGATAGATGCACTTTTATCATGGATAGATGCACTTTTATGATGGATAGAGGCACTTTTATTGACTTCAAAACAGAAACCGGCCATTCACTGCCACTATAAAGCTTGGAAGAGCCAGGACATTTTTTATATAACTGATTGTATTCGTCTGAAAGAAGAATGTCATATACACTAGGTAGGATGACTTGAGGGAGAGTAAATCATGGGCTAATTTTCATTTTTGGGTGAACTATACCTTTAAGACTCCTAAGAGTCTGTGGATCTTTCAATCAAAAAAAGAGGTTTTGCATATTCTTTATTTATATTTATTTGTGTTTGTTATATTTTAATATTTTATTCTTTGTGTAGCACTATGGCCAACATTGTTGTATTATTATGTGCTTTATAAATAAATTGGAATTGGAAGTGGAATAGAGTCATGTGACTTTCACACACCTGCTCGATGCTGTACCCGCCGGTCAGTGTCGCACCGTATCCGCCCACAAATACCAGTCCGGGCAGCGAGTACAGATAGTTGTGCTCCGGAGGATCCGTCGACCTCTTAAACATGTCCAGCATCCTCTGGGTGATCAGGAAACCACCTGAGGATCACATGATCACATGATGAAGACCACATTCAATTCAATTCACATTTATTTGTATTGCGCTTTTCACAACACACATCGTTTCAAAGCAGCTTTACAGAAAATGCATGAGTCCATATTACAATATACAGTGATCTGTTATCAGAGGAAACTGTCTAAGTTATACATTTCAGAAATGTACATATTAAAAATCACAGTTAGCGAAAATGTATTAATTTAAACAATGTAATAACTGAACATGATGAAGCATCAGTATGTGAGTTCAGCAGTATATGTAGCAAACACTGTTTTATTGATACTGTGTAAAGTGTGTGTGTGTGTTATAGTGTTGTGTTGCTCTGACCTGCGATGTTGATGGAGGACACAAACGCAGCGAGGAGAGCCAGAGACTCAGGCAGAGACGATGGAGTCAAACCTCCACCCATCAGAACCAGCCCACCCACTGCTGTCAGACCTGCACACACACACACACACACACACACACCCATCAGAACCAGCCCACCCACTGCTGTCAGACCTGCACACACACACACACACACACACACACACACCCATCAGAACCAGCCCACCCACTGCTGTCAGACCTGCACACACACACACACACACACACACCCATCAGAACCAGCCCACCCACTGCTGTCAGACCTGCACACACACACACACACACACACACACACATGTCAGACCAGTACACACACACACTCACTCACACACACTCACACACACTCACACACACACTCACTCACTCACACTCACTCACTCATACACACTCACTCACTCATACACACTCACTCATACACTCACTCACACACACTCACTCACTCACACACACACACTCACACTCACCTGAGATGGCGTTGGTCACTGACATGAGTGGCGAGTGCAGAGCGGGAGTAACGCCCCACACAGTGTGATATCCCACAATTCCTGCAAGGCCAAAGGTCGTCACCATCTGAGTGAAGGCGGCATTGGGGGACGCGACTCCCAAAGCCAACACGGTCGAGAGACCTTGACAGCCACACACAGGGAGAGAGAGAGAGAGAGAGTCTTCATTGAATCATTCATTAATGAACAAATTCATTCATTTGTCCGTTCGTATTTTATTGTCATCAGTTTCACAGGATATCTAATGGCAGTTTACAGAGTCAACATTCAATAAATACAACATTTAATAAAACTCAACTTACAGAGAAAAAAGACTAAACAATTTTGTATAAACATTATAACTTATTCATACATTCAATTAGTTGTGGATTTAGTCACTAATTTGTTTGTTAATTCATCAATTTGTTGGTTCATTTTTTGTTAGTTAATTTAGTCATTCATTCATTTGTTAGTTTATTAATTAATTTATTCATTCATTCTTTTTTTGTTCATTCATTCATTCTTTCGTTTATTTGTTCATTAGTGCATTAATTGGTTCGTTCGTTTATTCATTCTTTCATTAATTTATCAATTCATTCGTTCGTTTATTCATTCGTTCATTCAGATATTTATTCATTCATTCCTTCCTTCCTTCCTTTATTTGTTCATTTGTTAATTCATTCATTCAGTTATTTATTCATTCATTCATTCGTTTGTTCGTTCGTTCGTTCATTCATTCATTCATTCATTCATTCGTTCGTTCATTCGTTCATTCATTTGTTTGTTCATTTGTTCATACATTCAGTTATTTATTCATTCATTCATTCGTTCGTTCATTCATTCATTTATTCATTCGTTCATTCGTTCGTTTGTTAATTCGTTCATTCGTTTGTTCATTTGTTCATACATTCAGATATTTATTCATTCATTCCTTCCTTCCTTCCTTTATTTGTTCATTTGTTAATTCATTCATTCAGTTATTTATTCATTCGTTCATTTGTTCGTTCATTCATTCATTTATTCATTCGTTCATTCATTCATTCGTTTGTTCATTTGTTCATACATTCAGTTATTTATTCATTCATTCATTCGTTCGTTCGTTCGTTCATTCATTCATTTATTCATTCGTTCATTTGTTCGTTCATTCATTCATTTATTCATTCGTTCGTTCATTCGTTTGTTCATTTGTTCATACATTCAGTTATTTATTCATTCATTCATTCGTTCGTTCAATCATTCATTTATTCATTCGTTCATTCGTTTGTTCATTCGTTCAGTCATTCATTCATTCGTTTGTTCATTTGTTCATTCATTCAGTTATTTATTCATTCGTTCATTCATTCCTTCATTCATTCATTCATTCGTTCGTTCGTTCGTTCGTTCGTTCATTCATTCGTTCGTTTGTTCATTCATTCGTTCGTTTGTTCGTTCGTTTGTTCATTCATTCGTTCGTTCGTTCGTTTGTTCATTCATTCATTCGTTCGTTCATTCATTCGTTCGTTCGTTCGTTCGTTCGTTCGAACGAACGCTCTTTTGGCTCTTTCACTCGTTGATGGGTTGGTCGGT